TGAAGACAATGACAATGTTGACAGCTGACATCACCTAAGCCCCGCCCCCTGACAACAGGAAGTCTATTGTTTAATGGTGAAATGCCCAAATTTGTCCCCTCTAATTTAGTGAACATGACACTAAGGTCAAGCACTGTCTTCATGATGATGTAATGACAATTCAGATCTGATAGCTTTCCAGATAGGGAGGGGCTTTGATGCCATGGCGAATTCTGGCGTGACGCCGTGACCTTACGTTTGAGTGTAACTTCAACAAACGGCCTCCAATCTGCCCGAGACTGAACATGGCAATCAACAATCATGTCCTTTAGCCAACGAGGCACAAACAGTTGGTAAACGTCTTATAATATCACCACAGCGCCACCTACATACCTTTAAAACTGTAATAACTCCTACAGATGAGGTCGTAACTGCGCCAAACTTGCTAAGTGTCATCACACAAAGGCATCCAACACAATCCTGTGGTAATTGGTTCATATTGCTTTAGCTCCGCCCCCTGACAGATATTAGGCCCTGAATAACACATGCTTGATGCAATTCACACCAAATTGCACACAAATGACTGTTATCAACCTACAAACTTCTTCATAGAATTTTTGCTAAGTTTGGGACAGCGCCCCCTAGATTCAATAAAACCTTTGTAACTTCTGCAAAAAAGCTCCAAACTATATCAAGTTGGTGAGATTCATCACACAACTGCAATCAACACATGAATGTGCTCACTTGTTCAAATCACTTTAACTCCGCCCACTTACAGCTTTTTGTCTCTAGATGACCCATGCAACGTTTGATTGATGCCAAATAAATAGGAAACCATCTTTGATTACCAAAGATGACCTCTATGGCATTTAGTTTTAAATGGTCACAGCGCCCCCTAGATGGGATCAAATTTTATTAACTTCTAAAGACAAGGTCAGAATGGCATTATACTTGGCTTGTGACATCACTCGACTGCACCAAACACATTGATGGAGTTGTTGTTTCAAATCCCTGTAGCTCCGCCCCTTTCAGCTCACTGGCTTTAGATCAGTGGTTCCCAACCTTTTTCCCAAGGGACCCCTTTTTTACCAGTCAAATTTTTGATGACCCCCTCCCATTCTCTCTTCCAGTACAAACATTATTAAGAAATGATAAAATTGTTCAAGCACATTTTAATATGCTTTGATTCAATAGATAACAGTAATAGTAGGCTCCAGTACAGAACAAAGTCATTAACAAAACCAGAGCATAATGTGCTTGACAGTTTGTATTACTTTTCTGAACACATTGCTTCTTGTAGACACTGATAAATCAATCATTCCGTTCAATAAACGTTTGACACATAAAAAATACACTAAGCAATATGTACTTAAATGTGTATATTACTGTTTATACTAGATTATTTACTGTAAACGCTGTGATTAATCAACCAGTCCTATCTGTAATGAACTTTTGACACTTGAAATTAAACAGTGAGCTGAGCAAAATGTTCTTAAAAGTGTGTTACTTTTTCTGTACTAATTATTTCCTGTCTTAATATCAGTAAACTTTTCACTCATTAAAAAAAATGTGAGCAAAATGTAGGCTATAAACAAGTAATAAATGAAGTTTTTATCCCTTAAAGTGGAAAGGTCCGGGCGACCCACTGAGAGGCTTTGGCGCCCCCTTGTGGGGGTCGGGACCCCCAGGTTAGGAACCACTGCTTTAGATAGCACACACAACGTCCGATTGATGGCAAAATAACAGAAAACCATCTTTGTCAACCAAAGCTGATCTCAATGGGAAATGAATGTAATCGGTTACAGCGGCCAAACCTAACTTCATACTTTAATACCTTCAAAGATAAAGGCCTGAATTGCATTAAACTTGGTTTGTGCCATCACTTCACTGTAAGTTACAGGTCATCATTTATTCAAAGCCCTTTAGATCTGCCACCTTTCAGGCCTTTAGCTCTACACACCACACGCAACATCTGATTTACACCAAACTAACACAACCATCATTGCCTACCTGAGACGACAACAATATTGCAATGTGGTGCTGCGATGGGATGAGCAAGCACGTGCGCGAGACATGTAGTTGAGGCAGCAACAGACGGAGCAGTATCTAAGACAGCTGCAACAAATCACTAAGTCATAGCTACTGCCAGTTACTATTCCAGCTGACCTGCTCATATTCAATGGTAACAGAGGAGAATGGGTTGTTCTCCAGAAAAAGGTACAAGACACACATACTGCAGGACGCAGCCAAAAAGCAGCAAACAAAAATTTATTTACGTCTAATATTTGTGAGGAAATGAGGGAGTCATATATAGGGATGGGTACCTTTGACATTTGAATCGATTGGGTACCAATTCCCGGTACCTAGGAATCGATACTGGTACTTAACAGTCCCAATTTTAGATACTTTTGAGTGTTTAATATTTTAATTCTCTTTTATAATATATATTTTTCTCAATTTGTAACCATATTTGATAAATATCATGATAAATAACATACAACTGTTTGTATTTTAACATCGTCCTTGTAGTTTTATAAGCTGATAATTAAACTGAAGCAAACATTTTTACTGTGAACTAAATTTACTGTGTATCTTCATTCCTTTTGCTGTCCTTTTTCTTTTGATTTTTCTAAATGGTGGCAATGGAAGCCAATTTATCAAGCTAACGTTATCTTATACAGTTTGTTTAGCTGCTGGAGCAGATTAAAATGATGATGCCTCACACTTAGATCGTTGTCGCTGGTTTCATCTTCACGCAGTCACCCATCGCATTTAGTAAAGTGAAGCCAAACTTTAGAGTGCGTTCATGTTCTTCTAGTCGGAAATTCGGAGTTCCAAGGAGAAAGCGAACGCACCAGTAGTGGAACGGAAGCTAACATATCAAGTTAATGTCATCTTAAACCTTTTATTTACCTACCGGAGCAGATTAAGATGAGGATGTCTCACTTAGATTGTTGTCTCTGGTTTCATCATCACGCAGTTACTCATCACATTTAGTTAAAGTTAAAGTCCCATTAGTTGTCACACACACAGGTGTGTGTGCGAAATTTATTCTCCGCATTTGACCCATCCCCTGGGGGAGCGGTGAGCGGCAGACAAGCTGCGCTCACAAACTATTTGGTGGTTGAACCCCCCAATCCAACCCCTTAATGATGAGTGTCAAGCCGGGAGAAATTGGGTCCCATTTTTTCAAAGTCTTTGGTATGACCCGACCAGGAGTCGAACCCCTGATCTCCCAGTCTCAGGGCGGACATTCCACCACTAGGCCACTGAGAAAGGTAAATTTAGTGAAGTGGACCCAAGCTTTACCGTGTGTTCTTTCTACCATGCTGCTCTGTTTACAACTCGCTCGCAGTGACAGACGCAACGCTCTTGCGCATGTGCAACTGTATAGGCAAGTTCTCATTACGAAGGACGGGTACTGAAACCAGGCACCGTTTCAAATGACGTGAATTGGTGCTCAGTCGGTACAATAGAATTCGGTCGGTACTTTAAAAAGTACTGAATTCGGTACCCATTGCTAGTCGCATAAGAAGAAAATTCTGCCCCTTCCACCGTGCTATCATCTCTGTACAGCAAACTATTACAGATTGTCAACATTAAAGTCAGACTCCCAATTGTCAACCATTCTCCCATTCTCCCTAGCAATCATACATGACTTAATGTGTCAATATGCATTTTCTGGGGGACATTCAGTCTTGAACGATAGATAGCCAGTTAATATTATTATGACTGCATGTAAGCCATTATAAATATATACAGCTATATTGTAAATACAGACACAAAATATAAACTCAAGCACACACCAATATAGTTTGCTTTTGGGTTTGGCCCAGAACCTCTTTTGGATAAGCTGCCACTGTTCGTACTTTCTCCATCATGTTCAAATTCAAGCATTATACATTACACTGTTATTTTATGTAATTTATAGTCGTAACAATTAAAACACTAACATGTTTTACCTAAATTATATATGACTAATAGGCTATTGGGAATTTTATGTGTAGTGACGCATTTAAATAATATAAGGTTTGTCTTCTTGTAAAATCATATTTGATAAAGTAGTCTGCACTATCAGCAGGGCAACACAGGGAGTCGAACCCCGTCCCAACAAGTGGGAGGTACCTGTACTATTGCCTTTGCTTTTTTTGTGCAATATGACCAGGTAAAGCAAACCCTGCATTAAGAACAGCATCACAGTAAGCCGCTGAAGCTTTGACCACTACACTTCATTAGTTGTGAAAAAAATTTAATGACTGTCAAATTTCAATTCAAATTGCATTCAAATATATTTATGTCTATTATGTTCTATTATCTAAGATGTTGTGCTATGCAATGTTGTCTTATTGCAAGTAACGAAACCATAAACAATACACTTTTTTTTTGTTTTTTTTGTTGTTTTTTTTACATTTCAGAACATATGGTACATGTTTGTATAATGCATATGAATACAATATACAACAACTATATATACACACAGTAAAAAGCACATAATATATTATTTAAAAATCCCTACAGCCATTTAACACCACACATGATGCCAAGATTACCTATAAAAATCCCTACAGCCATTTAACACCACACATGATTCCCAGATAACCTATAAAAATCCCTACAGCCATTTAACACCACACATGATTCCCAGATAACCTATAAAAATCCCTACAGCCATTTAACACCACACATGACTCCCAGATTACCTATAAAAATCCCTACAGCCATTTAACACCACACATGATTCCCAGATTACCTATAAAAATTACTACAGCCATTTAACACAACACATGATTCCCAGATTACCTATAAAAATCCCTACAGCCATTTAACACCACACATGACTCCCAGATTACCTATAAAAATCCCTACAGCCATTTAACACCACACATGACTCCCAGATTACCTATAAAAATCCCTACAGCCATTTAACACCACACATGACTCCCAGATTACCTATAAAAATCCCTACAGCCATTTAACACCACACATGACTCCCAGATTACCTATAAAAATCCCTACAGCCATTTAACACCACACATGATTCCCAGATTACCTATAAAAATCCCTACAGCCATTTAACACCACACATGATGCCAAGATTACCTATAAAAATCCCTACAGCCATTTAACACCACACATGATTCCCAGATTACCTATAAAAATCACTACAGCCATTTAACACCACACATGATGCTCAGATTACCTACAAAAATCACTACAGCCATTTAACACCACACATGATTCCCAGTTTACCTATAAAAGTCACTACAGCCATTTCCAATGACACATCACTATTATCACCACAAAGTACTAAAACCATTTTACGACATACATGATGACCCGATCAGGAAAAAAGCTACAACTGTTTAAATCCACAAAAAATTCCCTGATGGTCACTAAAATATGTTGGCATAACAACTGCCTCCATTTCATAAACCTTAGATTTTATGTAAACGTGATCTATTAAAGTGCCCCTTTCTGTGGTTGGATCTGTGACTATTTGGGCATAGCCTCTGTCAGTCACAATTTTCAACACCTCAGATGACTTTAAAATGTCATCATTAAAATCCCCCATCAGCAATACGTTCTCACTTTGAGGCTCCAACCAATCAAGCAACTTTACTAAATTTGCTTGGAATACAGAAAGAGGATACAAAGGGGGCCGATAAATTACAGCCATTAGTAGGTTTAAACTGACAAATTTGTAAGTTAAACACTCCAAGTTCACGTCTTGAAGCTTTAAAAGTTCAAAGGCCACTCCTTGTGCAGTATAGATGCCAACACCACCACGTTGTTGGTCTTGCAACGCCGCCAATGCCGCTTGATTACTAGTATACGATAAATGTCGTGGACAGTTGTAAAAACTGTACCCATCAATCTTTACCGTATCTGAACAGGCTGTAGTCAGCCATGTTTCTGTTACAGCAATACAACTTGGTTGCAAATGCTGTGTGCAGAAAGCCAAGTCTTTAACATGTCTATTCAAACTTTGGACATTCATTAAAAAGAAAGTAAAGACAGATGTGTTAAATCTGTCCCACTGTGTATGTCCACTCAGAAGGGGCGCCATCCTACTGACAGCAACCGTGATGTCATCTTTACAGTAGATTCTGTTTGCATCAAACTTCTGAATCGTGAGGCCAGAAAGAGTCGTGACACGACTAAGGGCAACATACGCTTGGCCAGGCGCAAATATTTTACTGAGACTGACCACAGCTGTGTTAACAGTCAAGCCCTGTACTTTGTGGACAGTACATGCCCATGCCAGTTTGAGAGGAAATTGACGTCGTAATCCACCTTTAACAGTGGCTTTTTCCTCTTCTGGTTCAATAGGTGTGGAACCAGCTAAATTTGATGACAGAGACTGGGAGGTTTTCCTCCTCTGCAAGCCTACATGATGGTCATCAAATTGAACATAAACCTTTTTAGGAAAGGTGTCATTTTCCTGCATTATAATCTCCGTCACAATACCACAGACCCCGTTTACCAAACCATCGGCAACATCCACATTTTTGCACAACATCACACGCGCACCCTTACCCAACAACAACTCTTCAGCCAAATTTGTGTTCGAAGCTCTAGCATGATTACCTTCCAACAACTTCAGTTTGCCAGTTTTTTTATCATTAACATAATCTTTGGCTTTAAACGATATATAATCAGGGCAAGTCTGACATAACTGAATAATATTGTGCTCATTTACTTGTTTATTCGTCGCAAATATGTGTAAGGCTGAGCTCACCTCACCTGTTTCACAAGTTTTTAGAATCTGTAAATCCTCAGGTAACAGCGGTTGACCTTTGGAATGAGTCCTAATCCTATTTAACAGCTGGGAAAACACTGCATCTTTTTGTCTAACTATCTCTGTTAATTCAACAACCTTGAATAGATCAGTCCATATGCTGCTACCTACACCATCAGAATAGAGTGGTTTCCCTTTAACAGGAGGTAGCTGGAAAAAATCTCCAACAGCCATAACACTGATGTTCCCATAAGGTGAAAAGTTCCCTGTTTGTTTAATCTGCCGCAATCTACCATGGATGTAGGATAAGAGGTTGTGATCTACCATTGATATTTCATCTATAATGAGAAGCTGGAGATCGCAAAATCGAGAACGCAAAGAATTGAGCTTCTCTTCACCCAAAGGAGTGTACGGTAAGCGTACATCCTTTCCTATCGAAAATGTTGAGTGGATTGTTGTGGCCTCCAAATTATATGCTGCTATACCTGTGGGAGCTGTTAAGAGCACACACGTGTTGTCGGGATGTTTACAAGTAGGTGAGAGTAATCTTTTAACTTCATACTCTATCGCGCGAATCAAGTGACTTTTCCCTGTGCCCGCACCGCCAGTAACAAAAATATGCAGTGGTTCAGGATTAACGCCATTAACTTTATCTATACACCACTGCCGGATCTGATTAAAAACAGAGAACTGTTTCTCATTCAAAGATCTAATTAATGCCAGGCCTTCAGTTCTACTCATGATGTTTCTCTTCTCTAATCGTCCAATGTCCTTAGATGACGGAGCTAAATCTGGGATGATTTCTGGATCATCGTTTACCGTTTGTGAGCTCTCTTTCAATATTTCCACACATTCCAAACGCTCAACCTCCGACTCTGGACACAACTCACACCAAGCATTCTCTAACATTATATCACCAACAATATTGTCCACAGCCTCCAAATGATCAGACTCAAATTCATATTTACCCCGATTCAAATCTACAACAGACTTTACAGAACGGTTTGTTCCATCAACAAATCTAATAAAACCGGTTTGGTAAAACTCCTCAAATGTTTCACAGGTTGAAGGCTTAAGTTCAGTATCAAAGCGATGTGGCAGAAACAACTGCAACATGCTTTGGTAAAACTTCTCTGGCTCTCTGGTTTCAGAAAAACGGGCGTAACGAACAACGGCTGGCTTAGTCCGAGTTCTTTTTGCGACAAATCCGAAATCACTACTCAACTGTACGGGGTTTTTACATTTCTCGTTTTTACTCAAAACACGATATTCTGAAGCAAACGTCGCAAGGCACATGTCATTAAATGTATCATCATTAGGTCTGTTCTTATAACGGTCAGCTATGCCGCACATCCACATGTCGTCGGTACTGAGATCCTGTGACATTACCTTTTGTCTCAAAACAGCAATGGGTAAACTCATTTTAACTACATTATCACCAGTGGGAACAAAAACTACTTTTCTAGAACACTCTTTTAGATGCATGTTGGTTAGTCTGTACACAGCTTCCTGTGCACAAACATCTCGGTTATGAAGATAAACATTTCCGAGTGTCTTCAAAGCCTCTTTAGCACTAACATTATCTTTAGCTGCTTCTCTTTGAGAATTAGCAAGCAGAAGGCCAATTTCCCGCTCGCTTTTGGACATATAAGATACTATATAAACACAACATGCATAAGCATCTACACAATATTGGATATCAATATTAGCATTCCAAGCTTTTAACAGCAACCTGCTATACTGATTAATCCAAACCTCATTAACTTGCCTCTTCAAAACAACATGTGTATTTCTACAAAATCGTTTATATGCCGTTTCAAATAATTCCTGGCTAATACCCAGGCCTCTAAACAGATCTTCCACACTGGTATATGGACAGTCGTCACTAGAAATAGCAGTCTTTACTTTAGTTAAAATGGCACTAGCTACATCTTTGTCCATTTCTTGTTTACATGCTTTATCTTGAGACAAGCAGGGACACTGCACAGTAGAATCGGTTTTATCGCATTTACAAGTCTTCGCTGCATCTTGATACTTTTCACCACGGCTAATAAAAGTTCTAGTAGATGCAGGTCGTGGAAAATTAAAACGACAAACAGTATTTTTCTTTTTACAAGTCTTTGAATGTCGTTTTGAATGCTGCTGCACAGATGAGACTACTTCAGACAGTGAATCTTCTTCAGGAGGGAGTTCACATGTCACATATTTGTCAATGAATGCAGTGACCTCCTCATCTGTGTTCTTGTCTAAAACTGGAGCACCAGAAACCCAAAACAGACAATGACAATGTGGAGAACCACGCTGCTGGAACTCAACACGATAATAGTAATCTACGATCTTACCGATGGGATTGGCAGGAGACATAAGAACTTCTCTTAGGAAGACGTGCCATCGAAAATCAAACATTCGGGCAGCAGTGACAGGATTTCTACGCAGCAGTTCACATTTATCAGCCCACTCCAGCTGTTCCACTGTCTGTGTTCTGCCTTCCTGTCTCAAAATACTATACAGGAGATTAGTCCATCTCATATCTGCTGACGAAAACGATGCAAACCATGTAGGTTTGCCCAGCATTCTAACACATGCCAGCAGGTCGCGTTGTGCAGTCTGCCAAAATGCAGGTGTGCCCCGAATAGGTTTGAGGAAACGATACCCATCATCAAACTCCAACAGCTTATTTAAGGAATCCTGATCCTTTACCAAATTACGCAAGTCATGGGATTCACCACTTTTACCTTTAAGCAGAGCTATAGAAACTTTAGACACAACCTGCTCCAGTTCAGACATGTACTGCGCAAAAAAAAAATATTCTACATTATGAGCAAATCGCCCATCAGCGTGAAGAAGTCTAGTGTTAAAATAACGATTCAATGTCAAATTATATTGCCGGCTTTCGTGGTAAGTTTTTGATCCTGAAGGAAATAATACAGGGAAACATTTAGCCTCATTTGTAACATCAGAAAGTAATTTCACTGGATTATTACCTTCACCAGGAGCTACATTTAACACGTTGTCAACATACTGATCTAATGCTTCTTGTCCTATATCCACTGGCATGAGACAGGTGTCCTGAAACATACAGTGTTGCTGTCGATCATGCAGCAGTTCATCTTCATCCTCTTCTATGCACGCACCCTCATCTTTATCAGCAACACTGTCCTTTTCCGATACAGAATGGTCATCCACACGAGAAAATTCATTAATCCACGCTTCATTGAACTGTACATCTTTGTAATGTAAATTATGATGTTTTAAATACTGAAGAGCTTCCTGGACATGCACTGCGTCAACATACTGATAATCATAATGCCCTTTATATGTTAATTTACGTTTTAACTTTACAGGTAATAAAGACCCCTCCATGTTGGTGCGTGGTAACAAACTGCACGTTTCAACTATATTTGCTGGTACACAAGTTACAGGACCATGAATTCCATTCTGACCACCTTTAGGCAGAGCCAACATTTTCATAAATGGTATATTTAAAGCTATCAAATGTTGCTCTAATGTATTTAATCGTGCCAACTGAGGTGGGATGGGATCAACAGTCAGTTTGTTGATTGAACTCTGCGGAGGTATTTGACATTTGTTAATTTTATAATGGCAGGTGTAACAGATATACAATGAATTTCTAGATGTATTGAAAAACTCACATGGTGACTTGCAGGCACTGGTGCATCTATGCACATAATCTTCACTTATACATTTATCTGCTATAAGTGACATTTCTTTGTTTTTTTTTATAATAATCTTTGCGACAATTTAAGACCTGATGTTTAAATAACAATCGAGAGCACACACAACACACAAAATCAGGTCCATCTTTTACCTTCTCCAAAAATTGCTCAGTGACAAAATCAAAGTGTTGTGACTTTAATTTAATGAGCTCTCGTTTCTGCTTTATACATTCTATTAATCGTGTTTTATGTTCAACTTTAAGATACTGCCTTCTACTCAACTCTCTTACTTTTTGTTGATGAGATAAATTATGGTGGTATTCATGAATACTCCTCTGTTTAACTCTTTCTTGATGAGATAAATTATGGTGGTATTCATGAATACTCCTCCGTTTAACTCTTTCTTGATGAGATAAATTATTGTGGTATTCATGAATACTCCTCCGTTTAACTCTTTCTTGATGAGATAAATTATGGTGGTATTCATGAATACTCCTCTGTTTACTCCTCTGTTTGACTCTTTCTTGATGAGACAAATTATGGTGGTATTCATAAATTGTCCTCTGTTTAACATTTTCTCTGTGAGATAATTTATGACGATAGTTACATAAACTCATCTGTTTAACTTTCTGTTTATGTGTAGCAACAAATTTATATTTAAATTTGCTGGAGTTGATTTTTGTCATCCTGTATACAAAACTTGCCTTATATAATTTTTGGTACTGAGTTTTAACTTTTTCATTAAAAGAATTGTCATTTCTATATCGAAAGGCTTTTGTAAAAGCCTTTTTTTGTTTTTTATATTTAGATAAAACTGTATTCATTTTGATACTTTTAATGTTTGGGTCAGCATTTAACTGCTTTTTTGTTGATCTTCTGCACCTGTTTACAGTGTCTGACAAAGAGTCAACTTTACAAAAACCAAAACATGTTTCTTTGTCACCCTGCTTAGTGCAAATAATAGGTTTAAAAATATTATTACAGTTTGACAAATATAGTCCCTCAATGATGAAATTACTGGAATTAGGACTATATTTGATCCACTCAGTGCCATTATTAATAAATATGTGCACGCCTAACATATTAGCTGCAGCCCTAAATTCTACTTCTGTAGCACAGTGACCTACATACTTCATCTGTGAGTGTTCTATATATTGTGACACAGAAGCATGTTGTTTTCCCAGGAACTGTTCACACTGTTCAGTATTTTTTAACATGTATGAAACAACAGAAAGTCGGACCTTACGATGGCCTTTCTGTGACCCACTAATTGAATGAGCTACAGCTCTGAAAAAACTATTACCATCTTCTACAATATCCTCGGTCTTACACACATTTCCTAAAGTCCCACATGGTGTAGAGTCTTGGGAAGTGTGTTTGTCATAATCTATTTTCAGCGTGTTACAAAGAGTTTTACAAACATCTGCAGACAGAGGCGTAAAAGCATTGGCATGATCAAACACATGGGCATCATGTGCTTCTTTAGAACAAGACACAGGTTTTATGGTCTCTAAACGATGCTTTAAAGGTTCAGTAGCAGCTTGTCGAGTGTTACATTTTCCAGAATCTACAGTCTTGCAATACCCATAACATGTTTCCATGTTAGGCTGTTTAACACAAATGACTGTCTCATAATGGTTACCATTACAATTTTGTAAATAAACACCTTCATTAGATATGCTGCTGTTGGAGCTGTATTCAAGCCATTTATCATTACAGTAAGTGAAAATGTTAATGCCAAAATAATCAGCGGCAGCTTGAATTTCTACCTCAGTTGCCCAGTTTCCTACATATTGCATCCTAGATGAGTTAAGATAGTGTGGAACCGAGGAATACTCACTTCTTAAAATACTTTGATATGTTTGAGGATTCCTTTTTAACTGGTTTACCACAGCGAGCCGAATTTTTCTATGTTTCTGGGTGCCAGTAACAGCTCGACTTACTGCCCTGAAAAAACAGTTTCCGTCACCCACTATTTCCTCATTCACACAAGGTACACCCAACTCACCAACACCATAACAAGCATCATCACACTTTTCATACTCCACATTCAACCGTTTACACAGAACCTCTGACACATCACTAGAGATGGGATCAAAATGCAAAACCTTTGTCGTAACATCACTAACAAAAACAACAGAGTCCATATCCTTAACATCATCAATCTTCGTCCTTTTGCATGCTGTGGATGTGGATGACCTTTTGCGCTTCTCCCCTTTGGCCTTCGTGGGAACTGCGCTTGTTTGTTCAGATACATTTTTAAATGTGTCCATCTGAACAATATCCACTCCAGTGATCTCAAATGACTTCTGAGATCCCACTAGTTTACTAGCAAACCTCTGAAAATGTTGAAAAACATTATCAAGGTTTGCAAAGTACACAACTACACTCTGTCCTGTCGGGTCTACCATGCCGTCTGCGGAGCGTGCATGGGAATCTATTACAGCATAACGTCCATTATCACAAATGATAGCACAAGTATTGCCACTTAATGTCATAATGCAAGTTTCATGCTGTGTGCACATCTTCTGCAATCCATCCAGGAGAGGAGTGTACACACCAGCATCTATTAACTCGCCTTCAACTACATCTACATCTCCTGAAACAAAATCCCCGTAAACAAGCTTAAAACGCTGTTCTTCTATGTCAATTTCCTTTGGCAAGTCTGGAACAGAGAGAAACTCATGTCCACCTCTAATCTTTTTGTTGTCGCGCAAATCTGTGTACAGCTCATTTCCTAACTCAACAACGTTATCCAACACAGCAAAGTCCCAAGAAAAAACACTCTTCTGTTTGTGCTTTGTTAAAGCAACAACAGTAATAGCTGCACACTGAACTCCCCCATATTTAAAACGCCTATCGCCCTGGTGAAATGATCCTAGGATGGAGTCTAAAACTTTATCATCCTTGTGTAAGCTTGTATCATCTTCATCAAAATTATTTACAACAGAACTGCTTGAAGGTTCCTGAACAGTTGTCTCTGGAACTAGAGACGATAGCAAAATCTGTGAACGCATGCAAGAAGGGGTGTTAGTCGACTGACCTCTGGGTGATGCATGCGCATGATGGCAATCACCCTTCTGGCCAGAAGGAGGCATCACAGCATGAGCAGCACCAGACCCAGAGACAGACCCAGGACAACCAGATGCCTCCTGATGGTGGGGTAAAGGCAGCTGGTCACAGTCCAACACCTATATAAAAGAAATTAAAGGGCAATACATCCTAAACACATCAAGATTTGTTTAGTTTTTATGTTTGAAACACACACTTCTTACCTCCTTCCTAAAATGAACAGACTCCACGTATGCAAGGTGGGAATGCAACCTATAATTCAAGAACAACAACAGTTAACAAAAATAACACCACAATGTATTTGTATGCCAGATAATTTAATGAATCAACCTCCTGCTGGACACGCCTAGCTGCTTTCTTAAAATGTCGCACAGACGTAGTCTACAAACAGAAAATAATACGTTTAAGTACAATACTTTCAAATATACCATACAGACAGCCCATATTACAAACATCAGGAAGTACATTTCACTTAACATTAGAAGATAATAATAAACATTTACTTTGAAGTTACCTGTATGTCTGTGGGACCATCTGAACCAGCCGATGGAGCAAGTGTGTCCATGGCAACCACATTGTCAGGTGAGAACTGTGGGATGGAACACTCCTTTACAGCCACTGGAGTGCCAATCTATTGAACAAGAATGACCAGATATTACCATCTATATGGAAATAATCTAAAAAAATGTAATCAAAAACATTCACTAACTTCATCAAGAACCACTCCTTTCTTGGGGGAATCAGAAGCGTGTTCAGACTCCCCTGAATGGTTCCTCTGTAATGATTAAAAATAATAATAATAAGCACATTGAAAGGCATTACTAGCAGTGTCACCTAAAGTCATACACTTTTAAGAATATTTATACTTTACAAAGTATCTCACCATCCCATCAGGTCTCACGGGTGTCCATTGGGAAGGGGGTGGAGGTGTAATGGTTTCCACAACCTTCGCAACAACGCGTGGCACATTACTTGCCGTAACTGGATGAGACACCTGGCGCTGCACCAGTGGCTTTGGTGAGGATGTCTCCAAGAACTGAAGTAATTCACAACAGTTGTATGATCACTGACACCATAATGTATTTGTGTGCAAGAGTCTTTAATTAATCAAACAATTATTTACCCGCTGCTTTACTGGCCTGGGCTTCAAGACAGCAGGCTTCTTGCGATGTCCCACAGACGTAGTCTACAAACACAAAAGTATTATTTTTTAGTTTAGTGTAATACTTTTAAAAATGACATACCGACAGCCCATATTACAACCATCAGGAACACCATTACACTGTACATTAAGAGATAATAAACCCTTTGTCTAAAGATACCTGGATGTCTGTGGGGACATCACCAAGAGCCGATGGAGCTAGCGTGTCCATGGCAGCCAGAATTGTAGGTGAGAACCTAACGGGATTCAGGGGGATGAAACACTCCTTCAAGGCCACTGAAGTGTCATCAGTCTATTGAAGAAAATTCACCACATATTATCATCTAATCAAAATTCTTTGAAAAAGATAAATCAAAAACATTCACAAACCTCAGAAAGAACCACTCGTTTCTTGGGGGAATTAGAAGCCTTTTCAAATTCCCCTGAATGGTTCCTCTGCAATGGTAAATAAAAGAAAACACATTTAGAAGCATTAGTGGCACAGCTGCTTAAAATTATAAACATTTTACAATATTTATACTTTATAAAGTGTCTCACCTTCCCGCTAGGTCTCACGAACGTCCATTCGGAAGGGCGTGGAGGTGGAATGCGTTCCACACCCTTCACAACCACACGGGGCACAATACTCGCTTTCAGCGGACGAGACACCTGGTGCTGCACCAGTGGCTTTGGTGCGGGTGTCTCCAAGAACTGATTGGAAGCATTCCACATCAGTTGCGTGAGTATAGGCATCCCGTGGTCATCACTGAGGTGGATCTGCAACCACAAACACAAACAAAAGAAAATACAAATTTATTACCTCAAATTTAAGAATCTTTACCTCGTTTTCTTCCAAGCAATATACTTACACCATCACGGCACCACAGTTCGCGACGGTACCTGGGTAGGTCATCATGGATCGGCACGTAACTTACACCTTCGAAGCAGAAGGAAAAAATTTATGTAAAGTTATAAAATGTGATTGTTTGATGCCTAAGAGTATATAGCAATATCACTTGTCGTCAATACTACCTTTTATCTAATTATGTTGCAACTTACGTAGCTTAGCCGATCTGCGGTGGTACTCCTGCTGAAACAGGTCTTGACGCTCCCAGGATCCAACTAAACGGGGAATCATGGCGGTACAGAAAACCTAAAAAAATAAGGAAATAATTTTTTTTTTATGTACGTTTACAGTCGCTTCCTATACCTCCAAAATTACACAAATCAGCTCCTCACCTTAGGCCAGCGACTGAGAATAGCCAAAAGGTACCGCTCAAAAGCATCCCCTGCCTCTTCAACTGTTCTGCTGGCCGTAAGGTTGTTAGAAGGAGCCATGACGCAAACAGCATCAGGCTCCCGAGGTAACACAGCCTGTGAAACCTCAAGGCGCAGAAGATCTGCACAAGCTCCTGGAGTGGACATCACTCCAAAAGCGAGGCCGCCATCCGGCATAGGGACTATGCCGTCTGCCACGGACCTCAAGTGGGAGTCCCCAACAAGTAGGACGAACTAAATTAGAAAAAGAAATAAATACATTTTCATATAAAACAATCTGTATTAAATGACATTTCATACAAAAGACAATGTAATATGCTTTTCAGGAAGAAAGAGATAACATTAAACAGTCAAAGTTTACAAACAATAAAACATGAAATGGTAAAACCAATTACAAAATACACCAACATAATGACATGTAAATAAAAATAAAGACATGCAAAAATAACTGAGCAGTTTAAGTACTAAATCACAGATTGAGAAGCACTGAATAAAAAGGAAGATGATTACAACTAGGTTTTCTATTAAGATTCAAAAGTTGGTAGACTTGGGGCACAAGTCTAAAAGAAGCCGATTCAATCCGTTTGCAGCACTGTAACTGATAGCAGCTTCAACACCATCTGACTGTTTCCTTAGGATCCCATAGTACTGCTACATAGTATTGGAAGGAAATCTATATTTACATTTAAAATATTTGTCAACATTACACTCACTTTCTTGTCAGGAATCCCACCCGGAAGGACCAACTTGTGAGCTTTGTTGGACACTGCACTAGTTGGCCAACGACGAACTCTATGGCGCCAGCCGGTACCAGAGACTAAAAAGAAAGAAATAAAAAAATTTCAATCTTTTTTTGTCCAATAATTTTTTCACCTTACATAAATACAGTATAAATAAATGAATTGCATAACACTACAATAATTTGTTCTACTAAATACATACGATGAACGTCGTCACTGCTAGGCGTTGGAATCCCAATACGCAGGGGCGGAGGTGGACGTTTGCTGCGCTTGGCAGCATCCGCCTTGCGTTTGGACACTTTGCCAGGCATGGTGAATGCTGTTTGAAAGAAATAAAGAAAGTTAATTATTTAGAAGGCAACCCCACATTAGCTCCAAGCACTACACAACTGACTGTCACACAAGTTGCCTGTCACTTGTTAAACGTTAAAGAGCAAGTCACCCCCAACTAAACTATTTTTTGCTGATAAACTAAATAAACGAGTGTCTAATCGTGAGGCAGACACGTGTAGTCAATAACTTGGCACTTCAGTGCATCTTAGTTCAAATTTAAATATTCTGCCTAAAACTGGCAGTGTTGTGCCGTTGTCAGGTAAAAACTCTGCACTGTATTTTAATTTAAATCTGCCACCGCTATTGGCTAAGAGGTATGCTATGATGTAAACTGGTACATTATGATGTCACAATGATGTTGTGAGCCTGTGTGTGTATTTGTTAGCAGCTCCGCCTTCCCGGTCTGCCAGGCAACAGCATTTGTTGCATTTTTCAAACATGAAGTAAGAGTAGAGTTAGACTCTGGTAGGGGTTGACTTGCTCTTTAAGTAAAGTTGTAAACATACAAAATAACCAGTTTTGTACCTTAAAAGGGAAACAATGCAGTTCCTGCTTGCTTTTAGCACCCCCTAAAGTTTGTAAGTAATTGACTGTTTAACAAGCAGAAATGCTACTTAACTTCTTGCTGTGCGTTTGGCTTTTTAACACCTTCATCTAACTGCAAAAATGTGTCCTCAGCCTTCATTAGTTTGTACAGGAGCAGTTTCACTATATCAAACAAATGAACTGTGTTCAACATTGAAGACATGTAGGCAACATGCAATGGAAGCAGACTCAAGCTCCAGCATGTCAGCTACACTTTACTGAGATGAACAGGGACCAGCCTTAATACTCTGAAGTTGCATAGCTCAGGGATTACTTTTCACAAGTACATTTGATCATGTTTGTTGTTTCTATTTAGTAAATATAACATTGCTATACTACATTTATGTTCACCAGCAGCACCTCCTAGTCAGCCAACATTAGCTACATGCTCACTGCTAGTTGCCCTGAAAGCAAATGCAAAATGAGACTTTATTAATCATTTATTCCAAAACACCAACTTCTATTACGGCTGAGCTGATACAACAATGCTGCTGTAGAAATTAAACAAATCTTCATATGTCTCATGTGTCAGACTCTCCTCTCTGACTGCTAACAAGCTGCCATGCCAACCTGCTGAAAAAGGCATTTTTCTGGTTCTACCCTTTGAAGAGTGTAATAATAATTAAAAAAAATGCAATTTCGGGTTTAAGACAAATTCTAATACTCGTCTTCATTACAGGGTATCTGCAGATTTAAGGGAGCCAAATTTAAGACTTTTTAAGACCTTTTTTAAGGCCACTTTGACCAAATGTAAGCCATTTTTAAAATTAAATTTAAGCTATAATTTCCAGCTATTGCCTGGAACCGGTGTTAACCACGTCACGAACGTGGGATTAGCCATCCAGTTACCATAAAACTTGCACTTCTCCATGGCGCAAGCTCCC